CTCTCTCTCTCTCTCTCTCTCTCTCTCTCCCCCCTTGATTGAAATTGTTTTTCTGGGAGGCTCAGTTAGCAGGAAGTTTGGACTTGGAGCCTGCTAGAGATGGGGAGGACTAACAATTGCAGTGTTAATTGAATGGAGGAAGAAGAAGAAGAGGGGAAGGGCAGTGTTGGACCTGAGTTGCTCCTTTGGATACGCAAGGACTGGGGGAGGGAAAAGGGGGGGGGGGAGAGGCAGAGAGGAACCTGCTGCCGCTTGCTGGCTCTTTGTCTGCTCAGGGAACTTGAACAAAAGGAGAAACTCGGATGAACTCTCCATCTCTCTCTTCTCCTGGGTTATCTAATCTTCGGGAACTTTATCCAGAGAGCATTACCCAACTTCCTTCACGCTCTCTCAGTACTTACAAAACAAACGGCCCCATCGTGGCCTCATAAGGAATTCCCTCGATTTCGTTTTCAGACTTTAAAGAAGAGAGAAGGTGAGTTTTTGTCCTATGGTTTATTTGTTCTTTTCTCCCCTCCCCCTGTTACAGGCTTCAGCGTGAGTTGAAAGCGTGAAGTGAGGGTGCTCTAGAGGGAAGTCACAGGCTAGAGGAATCTTTTTCTTTCTTTTGTACTCGTAACAGCTCATGGAAGTATTGTTTTATGACGGCAACTCAGCTATTCTGTATCTGCTTACGTAAAATAGATTGGTGGACGCTAGTCAGTCCTGCCCCCGTGCAGGCTTTCTTTAGGATATAGAGAACTTTAAGAGTCTGGATGTATTTTTTCCTGGGAGGAGGAAGGATCCGACCAGGAAAACTTCCCAGGATTATGGGAATAATCGGAACGAAAAATGTTCAGGAATGCTGGCAGCAAAATCTGGCGGGGGGCGAGGGGCATTTTAGTGGTAAGGGGAGAGCCCAGCAACGGGAGGGTGGGGGATGTGTAGTGCATTTGTAGAAATGTGGGTAAGATGCTGGGAAGTGTCTGGTATTTAGACACTGCTGGTATGGGACTTTCATGGAAAGGTAGAGTAAGGTGTGCAGGAGGGCATAGGTGCAACCACATACAACCAGTTTGGGGAGCGGAGTAGAGACTAGGGAAAGGGAATTTTGTTCAATTTACGATGGTGAATTTAGGATGGCCAGACCAGGCTGGTCCCAAGTGAAATCCCCTTCACCCCCACAGTATTTTTTTAACCAATGACCTTAAAACAAAACAGAAAACCAAACCTTAAATTGGTTTTTATTGTAGTGTTTTAGCATTTGTGCTTTCTATTAAATACTCTGCAACTTTGGAAAACTTATTCTGTCTTCCTCGTATTTCTTCTTTTCACTTCCTTCACTTTTTTTCTGTATACCTTAGCTATTGTTTTTACCCATATTCCTTCTCTTCACTTCATCCCACTCCACAACTTTCCCCCTTTTTTTCCCTGTGGTATTCTTTTCCTACCCTGGGCATCCCTCTCCCCACCCCCACTACCTCTCTGTCCTTCTCCTTTTTACTTCCCCTTGCCAATGTCCCTGTACTTTTCCAGACTCCAGCTACGGTCACACATTATCCTCTCTCCCTTCACTTGCCTGCCTCACGTACCAAAAATCCTTCTCATGTGCTAGGGTCTCCCCCAAACCATGCACACGGGCACACACCCACATCCACTCAAGGGTGCGGGCTCCTTCCCTACTCCTCCCCCCACCCTCCAAATAACTTTCTCTTTCACTCTCACACATATGTAGGCTCCCCCTTTACATACACAGGACTCATTACACAAACTCCCCCACACACATAGACTTCCCCCCACCAAGCCTCCTCTCCCCTATACTGGTGCAGTCTCCCATCCTCCTCTCTATAGGCATGCCTCATCCTCTCCAGAAAGGGTTTCACTATTTCTCCCCCTCCCTCTGCTATGTAGAAGTTTGTTCTCTCTCTCTCTCTCTCTCTCTCTCTCCTTCCTGCCCATCCAGCCCTGCTAGCACAAAAACAGGTTCCCTTACACACACCCCATCAACATACACAACTCTAGTGTGCACCAGCATTCCCCTCCCCCCTAAAATTTCCCATTGCTGCTACCACTGAAGGAGCCACACCAGAGGCAGGAGCAGTGGGAACACTAGTGTAGACATGCTGCTGCTTTTAATTGCTTTGTCATCTGTTCTATGTAGGGCCAGGTCTCAGCAGCAAGGTTTGAAATACTGCCAGCACCTTGTCTACACTAGCACTCCCACTGGTGGAGATGCAATACTGGGAAACCTTAGCAGGGGAAGGCTACTGTGGACAAGGCTATAGGTTCTGCCCTGCCCCGCCCCCTATCCCAGCTTTGTAAGTGTGTCTGAGCATGTGCACTCCCTTACTCATCACACTCTCCCAGATACTTTCTTACTTCCCATATCTTTCTAACTTCAAGCTTTTGAAATATTTCTGAGGCCTTCTGAAGATCCTCTACGTCACTTTTCCCCTTCCGCTTTAGGGTTTTCTAAGATGTAAGAGTACTCATTGTGTAAAGAAATACCCATGCCTGTTTCATGGGGTATTGAAAGTACTAAATAATAATATCCAACTGGATTCTTTTGAAGTATTCCAACATGATGAAGTTTTCCAAGTTTAAACAATCAGCAAATTTAAATTTAGAATATGAACAAATCATCTATTAAATAAAACAACTGAAGTTATTCAAATGCTAGACTGTAACTTTGATATTTATACTTGAGCCAGAATGGTTCTGCAAAAATACTATATAGTATTATTGCTCATGTGTTTAGAACTAACCCTCACTCATTAATTTTATCTGAATAGGTAAAGTGTGATTGTCAGAGAAGCATGATGGCTGCCAAAACACCTTACAGCAATAGGTGCCATATTGCATTTGCTCTTCAAATGGTGGAATACAGCTGTGGATACTTTAGTGGGGATTAACAGAGTACAAACACTGAATGACTAAAGACATCAAACATCATCATTTGGATTTATATATCTATTAATAAACTGATAAAACTGGTGGTAGTGGCTCTTGAAGAAATCAGAAAATATGGAAGGTGCTGTTGAAAATGGTCTGGTGATCGCTTTGTGACAATGATCTTCTACAATTAAAATAAGGTATGTTTGTTCTCTAGTCATTGCAAAACGTATTTTTATCCATTGAAATATTAGATATTATGTTTTCATTGCAGACAAACTTGTATTTGTTCTTTCCATTTTCTTTTATAGCTATCAATAGCATTATGTGGTGTAACTGAGAAGAATGTCTCTAATTTTGCATGCAACGTACGTTTCTTAAATTTAGGCAGAATACAGTAAGTTATTTATTTATGGCCTGATTTTGTCAGAGGTACTGAATAATCACAAATCCCTTTGAAGTCAGTGGGAATTAGAAGTGCTGGGAATCCCTAAAATCAAGCCACTAACTTTTAAGAAAAGAAAGATTAAAAACAGTTTAAACACATTATGACTGTAGGGAATGTAACAGAATGCTGTTTAAAGGGCCAATCCTGCGTTGAATTCAGTCTAAAATCAGTGTGTTCTCTTTAAAATATATCAATTAAAAATACCACCCTCAAAACAAACATTTTTACAGAAGTTAGGATCAATATAATTTTTCATTAACAAAAATAAAATGAAAAGTTTTTTTTTAAGTTTAGATTTAAACATTCTTGTTCTACCATATTTATTTGCAATTCAGATCTTACAGCATTGTGGGAGTTGATGAGATCTGGACAGTTGAACCTGACCCCATTCTCTTTTCGTCATTCAAACTGAGAGACAAGCAAAAATTAAGGTTTATAGAGAAAAAGTAAACTATTAAGCATGGAATAACATCATGAATCTAAGATGTTAATAACATAGTTGGGGAACTCTAGGCTGTCTCTAAATGAATTATGACGTTTGGAAAGAGAATCATGAGTTTTCAGTGCAAAAAAGACTTGTATCAATTTGATGCCTGTTTTGTATGGAATGTATTTGCAACATACTATGAACAATATTAAAATGGTGTTTGGTGTTGCTTTAGATATATCCTTTCGCTCCTCTGGCCTATACAAGATGTAGGGCAGACAAGTGTACATTATCTTAAGAAAAGTGCTGAGCTGGTTGGCCTAGTTTAGAGCAAAATTAGAAATCTGAACAAATCACTTGTTGTCCTTTCTAGCTGTAAAGAGAGACTGATAGTCTTTGTGCTTGTTTTGTGTATAGTTACCTGTACCTGATTTTTTGTGTGTGTGTAAAGTAATGCGGATGTATTGTTTTATTTCTGTTGCTTATACTGAGGCTATGATCTTGCAAACTACTGAATGTCCTTAATATAGTTCTAGATTTGTACCCTTAAAATTTGTTTTCTGTGGATATTTTTCTGGAACTTGGGACACCTTAAATCAGCAGTATGGAAGTCTTTGTTTTCAAGTCCTGCCACAAAGAAAGTACTGAGATGTTTGTAAAAAGATCTGTGCTGCATGAAATTTTGCCATTTAGCATCAACTCACAGCAAAAGCTCAGTCATTAAGTTATAAAAATTTTAAAAAACTTGTTTTCAATGAAGATAAATTCTCTTCCTCATCAGTTGCTTACCCCTTACCCATCTACAGCTCTTTGCCTTTGTTCAAAGTTAATTTTACTAGTTTTTCTAATAAATGGAAAATGTGATTTATTTTTACATCTATTTGAAATCTGTTAATTTGATCAAAATTTGATAACTGTAGCAAAATTTATATAAATCTTTAAGAAGGGATGACTACTGTGCTTTACAATTATTTGAGTCTTTGGTGTTATTGAGGTTTCTTGCTGTCATGGTTTTCAAGGCATAAAAAACAAATTACTGTATGATATTTTCTTGTAATACTTTGATTTGCATTTGCATTACATTTCTATTGTTAATATCTTAGGGACTGAAATAAGATTTAAGGATAAAAAATACAATTTATGTTGTCTCATATTACTTTGGACCACTTCCAGGAAAAATGAAAAGCAGGATTCAAAGAGAGAGAAGGAAAAAGACAATGGTTAGAGAATGCTTTTGAGTTACTTTATTAAGTGAAATAAGGTCTCACATTACAACTGACTAAAGTTAGGGAGAAAACCTTATGCTATAAAGTTGTCTTCAGATCCACCTTAGGTCTAATTATTCAACCTGTTGTCACTGAATAATGAGAACATCATAAGAAAAGCTTTTGACCCCACAAGCTTTGGTTGTAAGAAATACTCTTTTTCCACATTCTTTTTATTTCTTATTGATGTGAAAATGACCATGGGAATGACACAGAGCAACAGTTAGAAGTGGAAGTTAGAGAAGAGAATATAAAAGGTATGCAAGTGCTTTCACAGTCTGTCATGGATGGTTAAATTGTAATATTGAGCTTGATCACTGGGAAGAAAGGAAGGAAGAAACAGGGATTGTTGTAACTTCTGTTTTGTAGGTACTTAAAGGGGTGGTGCAGTTAGATGTTATGGTGAATAGTGGCCATGCAGAGGAAGGGGAGAGATTGCCCTCTCCTGTAGGAAAAACCTGCAGATTGGGGGCCCTACGAAAAGGAAAACTCAGTGAGGTCTTGCCCCCTCCCCCTTCATTTCACTTCCTCCTTGAGCTGTTCTCCCTATCCCCCAAAAGAATGAGTTCTCCAATTCTTGCAGAAGAAAGAACCCGAGATCTGCACAAATTCTCAGTGACTATTTGTCAGAGGGCCCTGTACCTTGTGCTAGCTCTGTGGGGCCTTTCTCATTTCCAGTGGACTAGAGGTGCATGAGCTTCCTTCACTGGCAGCTGCACCCAGCATAGCAATTGGGGAACAGCGAGAGTTTCAATGTTTAGACTATGAGGGCAATTTAATGCAACGTTGAGATTGAGATTCCTGGCTTCAAGGGGGTGGGGGGTCTTTAGTAGCCCAGAGACTGGGTATTTAGGGCAGATAGTGCCTCCGAGGTGGTTGACCCCATATTTTACACTAGGAAGGTGGGGAGAAAGATGTATGGAAGAGCTCCTCTGCATGCAGATGCACAGAATGTAGTCTGGTTTATTGTCTCTAATTGTACAGATTTTTACATTTAGCTTTGGTGCTAAAGAAAAGGCATCAATCTATTGTTTTTTGTCTCTTATTATAATATATGGAGATATACCTATCTCATAGAACTGGAAGGGACCCTGAAAGGTTATCAAGTTCAGCCCTCTGCCTTCACTAGCAGGACCAAGTACTGATTTTTGCCCCATATCCCTAAGTGCCCCCCTTAAGGATTGAACTCACAACCAGGGGTTTAGCAGGCCAGTGCTCAAACCACTGAGCTATCCCCCAGTGCCATGAATGGATGGGTAGGAAGGGGGGGTGGGGGAAATCCCAAACTTCTACATAGCAGAGGGAGGGGGAGAAATAGTGAAACTCTTTGTGGACAGGATGAGGCATGCCTATAGAGAGGAGGATGAGAGACTGCATCAGTGCTGATTCATATTGACATCTGTTATAGTTCATAATTATAGCTAAAATACAGTATTCTCTTCTTCCATTCGGTATCACCTCACTGGTTTGTCAATATATCTAACATTCTTAAACTGAATTATTAGAATTTCGAAGGATCAGTACAAATATTGGGCCTTGATCTTTGTAAAAAAATTATATTGACTTCATGAAAAGAGGATGGTTTGTGGCCCAGTAAATGTTGAACAATGTTAGAAGGGAAGAGTTACTCTACGTGAATTATGTAGCCATGTTTTTTTAAAAAAGTAATACCTCTATATTAGAGCTCTGACTCAGAAATATTGAGGAGCAGCATATTGCACAAGCAAAGCTTAGGCACCAGCATGCAAGCACTTGCTTTAAAATGCAAAGTTATAGGTCAGGAGGGAGGTGAATAGTTATTGGAATACATTTTTCATCTTGCTCTATTTTTCATCTCAATTGTATTTATTTTTATATAACTGGGTGGTGTCTCCAATCCACCAGCAGACTCTATTCTGATCTTTTGTACTTAAATGGACATACTTTGAAATTTGCTGCAGACCTTCTGTGAAGCCTGAGCTGTATGCTATTGTGCTTGGTATCTTTCCCTTTTGTTGATTAAAATGCATAGACATGTTTAGGTTTCTAGAGGGGATTGAGCACTCTGTCTTTTAACACAGAATCAGATATGGCCACAGAGGGAGAAACTTTCCCCTATATGGTTACAATGAGGCTGCAAGTGCAGATTCTTTGTGCATAACTGTACACATTGTAGAGCACATTGCTAGGAAAATACTGTATTTACTTACTGTACAGAAATAGAACACTTCAATCATTTGCCTTAAATCAGGATGATCCTGTTGAAAGTCACACATGCAACTTTTCAAAATAGGTGAAATTATATATAATTACAGTAAACATTTACATGTTGTGTGTGGTTGTATTTCATATGATTCAAAATGTCATCTTATTCTATTCATTTTATTGTCTGTTTTACAACATTATGTAATGTTTGTAAAGATCTTGGTAGATGAAAGCACTATGCAAGTGCTGAATGGTAGTATGATAGTAATATTATTGTTTTGGATATAAACATGAGTATTTTCCATTATGTGGAAATAATGAACCAGCGCTTTAGTATACCTAAGCAACTAGACACAGGAGTGTGAATTTTGCTAAATGTCTTTACACCTAAATGCAGTGTTGGAAACTAAGCCATGTGCTACAGTCATGCAAGCTATTTATTTAGCTAGAAGCACACTTTTGAATATCTAGTTCCGGTTATGTTAAATGTCTCCAAATACAATATGTTGTTAATACTGATAATATATTTAACATGCAAAAAATTATTTCAAACTATCAACCAAACAAAAATGAACTTTTTTTTTTAACTCTTAATTTCTTTCTGTTCTGAAATGTTGCCTTAGTCATCATGAGTATAGCACTTGTAGCAGTCATAGATAGGTAATACTGGTTGTAAGATGGCACTTGAAGAGTTGATCTTCTATGGCTGTTACTGGCTGTGTGCTCACACTTTTTTGCTGTATATTCCTTTTTGTGTAGGAAGCGTTCATTTAGCATTTTAAGGATTAAATCAAGAAGCACTGAGGAATGCCTAGTGCCAATACAAAAATATAATTTAAAAAAAAATAGATTTTTGGGTAAAATTTTCAGATTTGT